TTACTGCTTTATTTAACTGCGTTATTGTTGGTTCAAATCCATCGCGTACATTTATAACGTCGCGTTTTGTTGCAAAACCACGACGTAATTGTGAAAATTCATATTCCAAATGTTGTACACGTCGTTTTAATAATTCTACTTCAGTACTAGGGTAATGAACTTGTTCTTGTAAGTGTAAAGTTCGATTTTTGGCGAGGTTAGCAATGTGCATCAAAGGACGAATTCCAGCCGCAAATACGAACAACATAATATTGAAATGTGAGATGTATTTATCATAATCAGTCAAGTACATTTTTGCACCGTGCAAAGCATAACCACCAATTATTGGTGATGCAACCACAAGTAACAATGCCCACATTTCTTGTATACGAAGTTCTTTTGCAGCTTGGTTTCGCTGAGCTTCTTGAGCCGGATCTGCAGTCTGGCCTGGAAGATTTTCGTTTATAACACGTCTTGACCTAGCAGCATAATAGAGTTCCCATGGGACTAGAATGAATTAAAATAATTAATTAATAATTTATACAAATTATACAAATTAAAAGTTATCAATGTTCCTACATCAAACTTTTAATCACTAAATATTATATATATATATATATATATATATATATAATATATTGATCATTATTAATAAAAATTACCTTTAATAATATTATATAGGTAAAAAGCAATCAAGAGTAACAAGAGGAAGTCACTCCAAACATCAGATTTACCATAAATAAGTGCACCCATAGGTGGCACTACGGGAAAGACAATTGGCCAAATATGGGTATGAGTAGAAAAAGATTCTGAAGTTGGATCTCTTATGAGTTCAGGTGGACTTGTGGAAATCTCGGGATCATTTCTTTCTTTATATGATCGTCTTTCACCTCGCGTTCCGTTCATACTGTTTGTCGAAGTAGAGGATCCTGAACTAGGCGAGTTCGAACCACTATTTATATTTCCTACGGTGGTGCCATTGTTGATAACAAGATGTGCAGGAGTCGAACCGTTCGTCATACTAACCACTGAAGGAGTTGAACCGTTGTGTGACATAGGCAAGGACATATCAGAAGCGTCCCCAAAGCCGTTCAAGTGTTCAGAGCTAGCTTTCGTTCTTGGTTTCCTTGCTCTTAATTGTTGCTTCTCTTGACCCACAGACTCTGGGTTAAAATTAAAACCTGAACTAGAGGTAGCGGTCGGAGTTGGAGGTTGCGTATTTTGACTAAGTAACTTTTGAGAAGCTGCGATTAATTCCTGAATACGAAGGTCGTCGTTCTTTTCAATAGAAGTCTGTGTCGTTTCCGTAAATGTCATTTATGTATATCTAAATTTATAATTTATTTTGTACGTTCGCGTTCTGTCGTTTTAATCTCGTATTAACAATTATTAAAGCTATCTCTATACAAAAAAAAATGAATGTAATTAGACTTTGGATTCGCTATAAAATCGGTTTTAAAAGCTGAAATGATGAAAAAAAAGAAAAAATCAACATACTCGTTATTTCAATTCTCTGGATAAACCATTGAATCTAAAGAAAGTGATAATAATGTTTATCTTAAAAGAATAGGGGAACTATAGTTTCAAAATCTTTTTTTTTTATTTTTTTTTTTTGGTACGTACGTATGTAGATATTCTGATAATGAATTGGGTACGATATACAACTTTTATAGTAAAACATATAAATGCTTTTAACCATTATTATCCCGTGCAAATCATATTTTTTAAATGTTTTAACATGACTTTTTTTTTTTACGGGAATAACGTATATATATATATAACTTATCGTCATAATCGTCATGACGAAGAATTAAATTTTTAAACTCTACTTGCATAATATGTAATAAAAATTTGTGAACTAGCCATTTTTTCTTTGCATTGATTATCAATAACCCTAATTCTATTATTATAGTAAATCTTTTTCGTTTAGCTACTATTTGATAATTTACAATTCTGATAATGTTCGATTCAAGATCTACATATTCTTTGTTATTACAGAGTATTACTGTGTGATCATATTAAGTTTGACTCCTCTCGCAATAAACACCCCCAGCTCCCGCCACTCTACGTACGTGCGTATATAAAATAGTCTGCATAATTCACGTCAATTAAAATTCTGTTCGGCCTATTGCACGAGTGCATTAAAAAAATATCCATGTGAATTCTTATCTAACGAAAAGTCGCGTCAACGTTAGATTTAGATTTAGTTTTAGGTTTCGTAAGTGTCACCAGCACTCTAATAATTTAAACACTACTGCGGTCCAAGTTTACATATTCTTTAATTTTATTTCAGTGTAACTTGCAAATCTATGCTTTTTGTAATTAGCATGTGAAATTTATATTCTTTAACGTTAAACAACGCATTCATTTCACCGAAAACACACAGTCCTTTGATATAAAATTTTCCACGCTAAAAAGACTCTTATTTTCACAATTGCCTTTGGTGGTTCCATTATAAAACTTATTAATTTGACAGGGTTTTATTTACGCGTTATAAATTTGACAGAATGATTATACGTATACAAAAATTGCTGAACATTTGTTGTAGTATCATGTGAATTTGGATTATAGGCGCATTTATTTATATGCCAAAATAAATCGTTCCGAACTCCAATATACTAAACTAAAATTTTTTTGAGGAAAAAAAAAAACATTTTTCACTATAGAAAGTAACACTATGTATAAACATTAAATGATTATTGAAACTTTTATGGTTTATCTTATGTGCTAAGTAGTTTGAAACGTTGTGTAAAATACAATTTGGGTAAATTTACGTATTCTGTATATCAATATGTCCCATTTTCCTAGTTTTTAGATTATAAAGTAATTTTTGCTTCTCAT